ATTTATGCAGATATTNTGCGAGAATCATGTCTTCCAAGAATCGTAAACAATGAACATCGATGTTTTACCATCGACTAGTGAAACGATGAGAAAGCTGTTACACTAGTTTATAAAAAATTGAAATTTTACTTAAGTGTTTTCCATATTTAAGTTAGAACAGAACTAGGGAATATTCAACCATTTAAAGTAGTTTTTCATAATTACACATTTTAACGTGTAATGATTACATAATCGTTACATATGCAACTTCAAGTAGTGTTCTTAAAGTTTAAAATTTCATTATCATGCATAAAATAATCACAGAAACAAAAAAAATTTATAGAAAATTATTAAATTGAAAACGTGATGATGTGGGCCGCCATGACCAAATTTCCCGGGCTGGTTTTTTAAGCCAGTTCGATCCTGATCATATTCGCAAATTTTAACTCTGTTGTATGAGATCGAAGTAGAGGCTCTAACTCTAACATAAAACTGAGACATATTTATAGAGACACTATTGCCAACTCCAAATTCAACTATTAAAAAGATAATTTTTATTCTATAAAAAAACTGCTGTAAGCAAGTACATTGACATCATTTCTAGGAAAATAATTCTATCGATTATAGCAAAATGAGTAAAATGATAATGAAAAAGAATAAAAAATAATCATAAATACGTATAAATAAAAATTTGAAGAAAATAATTGAAAATACACATGAAAATCAGAAGTAGATTTTGTAACAATTTTAATCGGAATGGTTGGAAGGAAAAGTAGTTTAACGTTAACATATGCATTACGTAAGGACAATATAGAAAATGAAGTATGTAACTCGAGAACTAGCTACAAGGTAAAAAGCAAAAATTTCTTAAATTTTAAAAGCCCTTTACAAAATGGCAAAAAAAATGCAAATTTACGTTGAAATTATTACATTGCCAAGGATAAAATTAAGCGTGACGCACTAAATTACAATCGTTGCCATTCCACGTTTCTTTTCATTAAATGAGTAGAAAATGAGTTTCGGCAACCAATGTAGAAATTTTCTGCTGTACTCGTTATATATATACACACACACACACACACTCACACTCACATATATTATATTATAAATTAGCTAAAAAATTATCTCTTATTCTTCTATTTCATTAAATGCAATAGATAATTTTACAATTTGTACATAAAATGTAGGTAGTGTAAAAAACAAAAAAAAAACTAAAAAATGGAAATACACACACGCGTACATATATATACAAACAAACAAACAGGGTGAACCTATTAATGTTATTGGTAACTTTCTGAATTGTATTGGAGATTTTTAAGCGTCACTATAGAGTTATTTACAAAAATGCTATACTGCATTTTGTTTAAAAAAATGATACTCTTGAAAATATCAAGGCGGATATCAGTAACATTTCTCAAATCAGCCGGTAATGAGTTCCTGACTTTGACGCAATTGAATACATCTTTAGTCAAAATGGTCTTTCTTTTATTTATAGGCACAAAAATTTATATGATCAGTTTCAACCAGCTTTTTTATAAAAATTCCCCCAAACTTAAAGTGAGGGCAATTGTCTCCTCCCTCCCTTCTGTAAACGTTCATGTGTATGCATTTTGCTACTTTTATTTTCAAATGTCGATCTATATAAAAACAAAACAGTATTCTTATTGATAACCGGTTCGTACCACCATAACAGCTTTGATCTTCTGCAGTTCACACATACACACACTGATGTTTTTGCATATTACGATTGGGTGATTTTTTGAATGTAAATTCGTTCTTAAATTTTGCTGAAAACTGTTTAACCATTATCAGCCAAACATATCCATACAGTCACAGAAACGAGATTAAAAAATAATAAAAAATCGTTTGAAGAATAGCCTACATTTAGAAAAATTGTTTAAATTTTAAGCATAGAAATATTTATTTTTTTGATACGCTTACAACCACTGTTATTTTCAAACGTTAATCTTCTTATGACAAAGCAGTATTTTTATCGATAACCAGTTCACCGTCTTGTACCATCTTGAACATAGTTTTGAATTTTTTCAGTTCATATTCCAATTGATAAATGAACGAATCCTTTTGCGATAACAAATTTCGTAAACGTTTGATATCATCTTCTTGCTCTTGAATTCTTTTCTTTAGCTGTGTTTTTAAGAGTTTTTGTCACACAATTGTACGAATTAAATGTTTGTGAATGTTTCCACTAAATTAATTGTAAAATTTATAAAAGATAGAGCTTACAATAAATATCATAAAGTCAAAGGCGTTACCGATGCTGATGGGAAGTGTTATTAGTATTTGTAAAAACCGATACCGTTTGTTTTAGTCTTGGTAATACTAAATAAAACTGATTAACAATGCATCGATAAATCAACGATAAACTTTAACTGATGAATCTTTCTGTATCAGCTTATAGACAAATAAAAATTCATGAATGAATTCGATATTAAAGACATTTACTGTAACACATGGTATTCATTATATAAATCAATAGCTTATTAAATAACCATTGTCAGCACCTGAATTTCAACGAAGTCCAGATTTTAAAACTATTTTTACAATGTTCGCTATAGATTAAGTGTAAATAACAGGGTGTCGGAATCGAATAAAATTTGCCTAATTTTTAACGTAACGAAAAATTTTATGTGTAAATCAAATTTTTCATCGGCTACTAGTTGAAGGAACATTACGCTGCGAATAATAAAACGTGAACCACTTTTTAAAAAATGTATATATGGGTTTTAATTGGGGTTTGCAGTATATATACATATACAATTATTGATAAAAATCACAGCATGTTCGGCTTTAATTAACTTCCCGTTTAATTTTTCGATTTTTCTAACGGTTGATCGTAAATCATTCTCAAGTTTTGAGGATCTGGCTACATACACAACGTATCAATTCGAACACCGAAGATGGTATTGAAATACCGAAAAAAGCTTTTTTGTTTTATCATGCACAAAATAAACAAAAAACAAAAAGAAACTTGAGAATGATTCACGATCAATCATTAGAAAAATCGTAAAGATAAACAGGAAGTTAATTAATGCCGAACATGCTGTGATTTTCATCAATAACTGCATTTCTAATAGTCTTAATCCAATAATAACTATAAA